CATTGTAATTCACATTATCACTTTTTCTTTAGGTCCAGCATCTCCCACCTCCCTTTCTCTCACACTCCTGCTACACCTTCTTCCATTTGTTACCATGGCAACCCTTTCATCCCACCCCTTCTCTCCATCTCCCAACCCATCCATCAAAAGACGGTCTTCAATCCCTCATTTGCCCCCTCTTTCCCTGTATCTCCCCTGCAATAATGGCCCCTACCAGGATAGCAGTTTACTTTAATGTCTCTGAATAATTCATAGCATTTATCATCAGCTCATAGACAAAAGAGCTGTTAAAATAATTTTAGGGGTATTCAAATAGCAGTTTTACTTGCACTGCATAATTCTACATATCTCTTCTCAACGTGAAATGTTTTAAAGTGATATACTGTATTGGGTTTACTGCAATAAGGAACATGGATTGCAGAATACAGTATCAGTTGCTTCTGTTGAGCTTTACAGTATGATCAAGTGCATATATTTTCTACACCAAACTGCATTATAAAACAGGAAGAAGCATTTACAGCAGGTGGCTACAGGTGTGGGTGCATTGCAGTTGGTGCTGTTAAGGAAATTATATTATCATGTTTTTATGATTTAGCAAGTTTTATGCTATAAATGCATGCCAGTTTTTTATATAACACTTCATAGATTTCAAAGTCAGTCTCTGATTTCCAGAATGCAAATATAAATGTGTGTGTGTGTGTGTATATATATATATGTATATAAAGTGTAATTTTTTTTGCATTTCTATAAAAATTTCTAAAAGTTACACTTAATTGTGCATCTTGTTTGTGTTTGTCTTGATTGCATATACCCATACAGCAAAATTATATATATTTTTTTTTTTCCAAATATATTTTTTAATATATTTCAAAATGTGCAAAAAATATATATTTACTAAAATATACTTCAATACATTATTTTGAGCTCTGGATGCCTTATTTTATCATTCACTGCACTGAAATAATGCTGTGTGGTGGTGCTGGGTGGGGGGAGATGCCACCACTTTCAGGTCACACCATCCACCCTTCTTTCTTATCAGACAGATTTTGACCTTGAATCTAATTAGCCTGAATCTTATTGCTCTGCACCACACTAAAAGCACCATATGCCCTCCAAGATCAACAGGACAGGCACACAGCTGCAATCGTCTGCTTTTATTTATCAGTCAGTCACAGAGAGATAAACAACAGCAGGCCAAGATGAACATTTAGTCTGAATTGTGAAAACCAATGTTTGTTCCCGTAACTATGACTCGGGGTAAAGTTTGCAGCATTGAGGAACAAAGAAACTGCAGTGCTCCCTCCTCCCTGTTAACATCAGCTGGAGAAAAGCAGAACTGTGGCTAATTTGAGCCATCTGCTTGCGGTATAAAACATTTCATCAAGGGGGTAAAAACCATATAATGAAAGTCCAGTTTGCACAAAACAAGGGGTAATGTAAGTGCAAATACTGCAGCATGTCTCAGAGCATCATGAAAAGCGAGAGGGATATCTCCAGAGCTTTCCACCTGAATTTGCAGCAGCAACAATCAGTCAATTCTCATAAATATTCCAGCCACGTTTCACGCCTCTGAGGAACCAATACACAGCAGAATGTGCTATATTTCATACAACAAACATGAATCTGAACGTCAAAGGTTTTATGCGTTTTCCAGTCAGGGGTTCTGCTGTAGCTATGTTCTTTTAAATCAGAAAATATTTGCACTAGAAAGTAGATTGTGGATCTGAATGTGACAAGAATGATAATCGTTTAATTTGCTATGCTTTGATGCCACTTTTTTTCATACGAGTGGTGAGAGACACTCAAATTACTCTCTCTAATTTCATATTTTAGTAATTTAAAGCAAAGGAAATAACAGAATTTAATGAGATCATTCACATCAGAGATGTAATGTCACGACATCTCTGTTTCTTTTTACCCCAGTCACTTCAAATTGAAAAACAGATCACTGAAACCAAAATTCAAGCAGATCAGATTTTGTGTATTGGTATTCATAGGTGTCTTGCTGAAAGTGAACAAGTGTTCTGTCTGCCCTGTGCCTGCAAAAATCTGAGATGGAGACTAGTATTCATGAAGATGTTATCACATTTCTTTGCTTTCTGCTGAGCATTGAGCTGCGAGGTTTACTTTAGTTGTGTGGGGAGACCATTTCTTTTTGCTGAATGGGGGGGAATCCCATTTTAGCCCTGCGAGACCTAGCATTTGGAATATGTTTGTGTTTTGGCCCATAATTTCTGAATTTAGTGAATGTTTGTTGACTTTCATTAGTGCAACACATGAGCGTAGAACTTCTTAGATTTCTTGTACCCTGCAAAATATTACAAAACAATTATATTTTTTTAAATTATCAGTATTATCAGTAAGTTTAAGGAATAATTTGTTTTCTTTTATTTAACAAGGATCCATTTTGTTGCATTTGAATTCTTCTATTCAACAAAGAATCCTAAAAAAAAAAAATGTAGGATGGTTTCCACAAAAATGTTAAGCAGCACAACTTTTTCTAGCATTTGAAATTAATTTAAAAAAATGTTTCTTGACCACAAAATCAACATATTTATATTTGTATATATTTAAAACAAACAGTTATTTTAAATTGTAATAATATTGTTTAATATTTTTTATACAGCAAAAATCCAGTTTTTGCTGTATGTTTGATCAAATAAATGCAGCCTTGGTGAACATTATAGACATTTAAAAAAAAAAAAATTACCAAGCCCAAACTTTTGAACAATAATATTTGCTATACTATACACACACATACATATATAAATTCATAAAAATTACACAAGTTTAAGGAATAATTTGTTTTCTTTTATTTAACAAGGATCCATTTTGTTGCATTTGAATTCTTCTATTCAACAAAGAATCCTAAAAAAAAAAATGTAGGATGGTTTCCACAAAAATGTTAAGCAGCACAACTTTTTCTAGCGTTTGAAATTAATTTAAAAAAATGTTTCTTGACCACAAAATCAACATATTTATATTTGTATATATTTAAAACAAACAGTTATTTTAATTGTAATAATATTGTTTAATATTTTTTTATACAGCAAAAATCCAGTTTTTGCTGTATGTTTGATCAAATAAATGCAGCCTTGGTGAACATTGTAGACATTTAAAAAAAAAATAATTACCAAGCCCAAACTTTTGAACAATAATATTTGCTATACTATACACACACATACATATATAAATTCATAAAAATTACACATCATTGTTCATCTTGTTTACTGGTGCAAATAAGTTTCAGGAGTTTTTTCATTTTCATGAAAAGGCATGAACAATAATATTTGCTATACTATACACACACATACATATATAAATTCATAAAAATTACACATCATTGTTCATCTTGTTTACTGGTGCAAATAAGTTTCAGGAGTTGAATTGCAATTCAAAAGGCATTTCAATTTACTTATGAATGCTTCACAACCTTGAATCTCTGACATACTGTCATCTCTCGCATACCACCACTGCCAAAAACTGTTTTACTGTGATACTGTGAATCAAAAAATCATTGTCCCTATGAGGTGTTCTTGATGCACAACACAGACAGCTTGCTTTGCTTTTGTTATCCATTGTTCTCATTGTGTGTTTTTCATGTACGGTCTTTTACCGTTGAGACAGGATGTACTTTATCCCTGGCTGTGGTGAGAGAATGCTGAATTTAGCTGCGCACCACAACTGCTTTGAAGAGGCTTCACAAACACAGGTTTGAAGAGGCTTCGTCTGTAATGTGCAGCAGTTAGACTGACTCTTTTGTCTGTGTTCGGTGGAGGGTGTTCAGTAGGAAAATCTCTGCTGCACTTTGAAGGTGCCAGGATATGTCAGTGTGCCTGAAGACAAGAAAGAGTGGGAGAGAAAAGAGTAGAAGTGTAATATAAAGTGTTTTATGAAAATGTCTGAGGACTGGGTTTTAATCTTATGTCAGGATTACTCTGCTGTTTAGATTTAAATAGCATAGAGTATAAAGATCGGTTTGGACTATTGAGCAGCAATCAGTTATTTCAGTCTGTCGTTATTTACACACCTTACACACATGTTGTTCCAAACCCGTATGACTTACTTCTGTAGAGCATAAAAGATGTTTTGAAGAATGTTGTAGTCGCTCTTGTCAAAAAGGGCACAAAGCATAATTAAAATATCATGAAAGTGGCACATAAGACTTATATTATGAGCCTTCTGAAGTCATAAAAGGGCCTTATGTGGGGAACAAGTCATTGTTAGTTTTATTTGTATGCTGTTATATATATATATATATATATTATATATTTTCAGTTTTCATTTTAATTTTAGTTCACATGTGACTAATTTTGTTATGTGATTTTGTCATTTTTTTATTTCTTGTCAAGTTTTTCATCTAATATTTATATTTTGTTTTATTTTTGGATCAAACCAAAATAGAAGTCATTAATCACTGATAATCCAGTGAGCTGTGAATTTCTACAAGTTTATGATACGTGTGTTTACAATTTCTATCTAATTCATGAACAAATCATTCTGTGATCTAGATCAAATTATACATTAAAATGATCTGAAATAAAGTAATTCAGGTTTGCAACAAATGACAGTGAGTAATTTTTTTAAGTGAACTGTGCCTTTAAATATTCAGTGTAGCAACAAATAAATGGTTTACATTTAAAATGTGAAAACCATTGAATGGGAATGGCATACATGAAGAGGGCAATTTATAATCAATATGTCTGTAACTCAAGTGGAAATGATACATTCTTTGTTCAGATACAGTTATTCCCTCAAGGTTTTATTTTAGGATGACATTGTAATGCAGATCTGATGTATGTACATTATACATGAACACGCATTGATCTTATCCTTTTATTGCAGTGAAATGGAATACATTTCCTGGAACAAGGCTTGAATCAGTTTTCTGCAGTTATCTTGTATTTCAGGCTTTCTGACATTTCAAACATTTAGACGCTGATTATTCTCTTGTTCTTAGTCTAACTTTAGATGCCTATCTGTATCTCCTCTTCTTGCAGAAACCGGTTACATCGATCCGGTGCTTATAGAAAAATACAACACACCCGGGTTTGTGGGTTGCCTGTCCAGAGTGCAGTTCAACAGCATTGCTCCTCTGAAAGCCGCTCTCAGGTCCCGTGGTTCTGCACCCGTCTCACACCAAGGTAAACTGGTGGAATCCAACTGCGGAGCATCACCCCTCACGATCCCCCCCATGTCTGCTGCAACCGACCCGTGGCACCTAGACGCAGGTGAGCACATTTAAACAAGCCAAATAATAACAAAAGAGGTCTTGAAGTCCCAGAAATGCACTAAAATCTCTCAGTCCTGCATTATTTCCCAGGAGTGGTGTAAAAGACATTTAATTTCCAATGCTAGGTTATTGATTGCATCATTGCATTGCATTGACCTGACTGACGAGATCTGCCCGCTGTAAACCTCTTTATAGAAACCCTCCTAAATGTGCGTCTTAACTGCCACATTTCATTGTATTGCTTTCAGTCTGATTAAAATGTGAAAAACAGATACAGAACAAAAATTCAATGCAGCAGTAGCACATTTTAGATTCTACTAAGCATAACAACATAAACAGGCCTTCCTTTACTGTGTCCTGCCATTCTAAAAAGGTCAATGGCCAGTTAGTGGAACCAAGGTAAACTGGTGGAATCCAACTGCGGAGCATCACCCCTCACGATCCCCCCCATGTCTGCTGCAACCGACCCGTGGCACCTAGACGCAGGTGAGCACATTTAAACAAGCCAAATAATAACAAAAGAGGTCTTGAAGTCCCAGAAATGCACTAAAATCTCTCAGTCCTGCATTATTTCCCAGGAGTGGTGTAAAAGACATTTAATTTCCAATGCTAGGTTATTGATTGCATCATTGCATTGCATTGACCTGACTGACGAGATCTGCCCGCTGTAAACCTCTTTATAGAAACCCTCCTAAATGTGCGTCTTAACTGCCACATTTCATTGTATTGCTTTCAGTCTGATTAAAATGTGAAAAACAGATACAGAACAAAAATTAAATGCAGCAGTAGCACATTTTAGATTCTACTGAGCATAACAACATAAACAGGCCTTCCTTTACTGTGTCCTGCCATTCTAAAAAGGTCAAATAGCCAGTTAGTGGACACAATGGCTTCTGTAAAGACAAATATGCTTTGCTCAGCTATAAGTGCATTTGTGCATCAGATTAAACCAATATATGTTTGTGTATCTGAAAAACATGTTATAAAGAATTATGTTTCGCCACAGTAGTTTCTTTAAAAAATAATCCACTTGTAAATGTAGTTCATTTGGCAAAGAGAAAATGATTCATTCTCTTCTCAGACACATCAGACTGTTCAGTGTTTTCACATGTATTCGTTTTCAGTCTATCAAGGTTATTATATTTAACTAAAACTATAAAAGTATATAGATATTTAATTATTATAATTATTATGATCTCCCTACAGGTGCTGATTTCCCCTTCAATGAGGAAAGAGTGATACCGGATGGAGTAAATAGGAATTCAGCTATAATAGGGGGTGAGATGGAAACATATTCATATCTATTTCAGATGAAAAATTACTTCTTTTAAGTTATCTATCCTTTTATGCATTAAAGGAGTATTTATTTCAAAAATGAAAATTAACTCATCCTCAGGCCATCCAAGATGTAGTTTGTTTTTTCATCGGAACAGATTTGGGGAAATTTAGCAGTACATCACTTGCTCAACAATGGATCCTCTGCAGTGAATGGGTGCCGTCAGAATGAGAGTCCAAACAGCTGATAAAAACATCACAATAATCCACTAGTAATCCACATGACTCCAACCCATCAGTTAACATCTTATGAAGTGACAAGCTGTTTGCAATGAAACAAATCCATCACTGAAACCTTTTTAACTTTAAACCTTTGCTTCCAGATTGCTTCCGAGTCTTCTATCCATATTGATTTCTCCAGTGAAAAGGTCATCTCGTCTGAATTAGGAGAGAAATATGCACAGATGCACTGTTTACAAGCAAAAACAGTCCAAAACAGTTATAAACAAAATATGTCGGTGGATTTTGATGTGAGGGGACAACAAGGGGACATTAAAAAGTTTTAAATTAAAAATGTCTTGATGGATTTTTTTTTTACAAACGTGCAACTTTTGACTGGACTGGAGTTGTATGGATTACTTGTAAATTATTGTGATGTTTTTATCAGTTGTTTGGACTTTCATTCTGACGGCACCCATTCACTGCAGAGGATCCATTGTTAAGCAAGTGATGCAATGTTAAATTTCCCCAAATCTGTTCCGATGAAGAAACAAACTCGTCTACATCTTGGATGGCTGTAGGGTGAGTACATTTTCAGCTAATTTTCCTTTAAAACTATTCCTTTAACAGTGGTGAATGTATTTTCCTTGCAGGTATCATAGCAGTGGTGATCTTCACTATTCTGTGCACGCTGGTGTTTCTGATCCGGTACATGTTCCGCCATAAAGGCACCTACCACACCAACGAGGCCAAGGGGGGAGAGTCGTCAGAGTCAGCCGACGCGGCCATTATCGGCACCGAGCCCAATTTCACAGAGACCATCGACGAAAGCAAGAAAGAATGGTTCATATAATGGGCGTGTACAGACTCTTTCCGAATCTTTTTTTGAGTATCAGAACTAATGTTTTGGGATCAAGCTCATCACCAGTTTGAGAAACTGTCCTGTACATAGTGACTGGCTTGTCTCTTTCTATTGTGTTTTGGCAGAAGTCTTTTAAGTGTGTAATCTCTGGATCACATGTTAATAAATCATTTCACTATGTGTTTTTTTTTTTACAGAAACATAATTATTTGCCAAAATCCTCTTTTATGGAAAATTGTAATGTAAGTTTAATAATTTTCTTCACGTGTTCTTTTGCTTAATCTTACAAAAATCCTCATGTGGAAAATGTTTAGACAGACTGTAATTGTTAAATGCTCTATATGAATATTTTTATTTAATTTATTGCACCAATGACAGAGATATAATTTTAAGATGAAATCAGATTGTATATCATCAGCGAGGGAAGAAAAACAAGGCATGCACCAAGAATTATGTCAAATCGACGCTGTCTGTTTGTAGCTTTCTGCACAGCTATGCTCATTTATTTCTTGTGGAAGCCTTCAGTTTATTGTTCCTTGCCAAACACCACTCAGTCTTAAGCATTTGTTTTGCTGAAGGCATGTATCATGGCATAAAGATGTTATTTTGAGAGATCATTTTGTCTGTGATTCATTTATGCAGGCTGTGGTAAAGCATTGGTATGGTGGCATCTGTTTGGCAGATGAAAACGCAAACATGTATCATCAGTGTTTGTCATTTCAGATGAAAAAGGTGGGACTACTGACACCCAACTGAATGACTTAATTCAAGGTGCCTTTAGGATTCAGCCAGCCGTCTGGAGAATTTACTTTGGTTAAATAGGTAAAAGGAGAATCCCAACAAATTGAATGGCTGTTTGAATTTATTTGTCTGAGAAGAAAGTAGACACAACATTTATGAGTTTAGAAGTGTTCCGAAATAGAAATGTTCAGAAATGGAACATTTTATATGTATGCTACAACATTTTAAGAATTTATTGCACTGTGCATTTTGTGAAATTACTTTCGACGTGTTAAAAACTTGACTTTTTTTAATAAAATGTCAAATAAAACGTCATTTACGT